ATTCATCCAGAGCTAGAAGCCACAACCACACCCAAGCACATGTCAGGGAGCAGAGGTTCTAACCCATCTAGCAGGATATGAAGGATCAGGTTTGAAGTGAGTGTATGGGGACTCCAACAAGGCAGATGTGGCCATAAGGATCCAGATGGATATAGAAACTCAAGCCAAGAGGTTAACAGGTCCAATAAACTGAAAAGAAGAGCTTCACGTGACATAGGCAAGGAATTTCCAGGTACCACGGAGATAAATGAGACCCTTCCAAGAGCTATTATCGTCAGGGGAAAGGGTCGCCTATCAAAAGTATCATGCAAAACAGACCACAGAGCTGCTCGCTCCCAACAAGGCCTTAGCACTGGACAGGCTGCCCAAGGTGCACTGTGCACTCATATGGGCCAAGGAGCCTGAGATAGCCTCACTTTCATATGCTGTGTCCATTCATCACCTAAGAGGGCCTAGTTTTCCACCCATAGCTGTAGGAGCAACACCTCCTGTGAATGCCCAACACAGTCCAGGAACAGGTTCCAGGTTCAAACCTGTGACTTTGGACAAAGCATATGCACACACTGACCTCACACCAGGAGGCAGTTACAAGGAGGTACTCTAGACAAGAGGCTAAGACTCCTGAATGGAAAATGCCTCCTGCCATAACTCTCCTCTCTCCTCACCTAGAGGTCCTTTGTGCTTTTAGTTCCCACAGCTATGTACAAACATAGGTATGGCAAGGCGTGGGCATACAGACTCTAAACCATGTAGGGCACTACCAACCCAGTCCACCAGCAGCTCACAGAAGGACCACCCACCCCAGAACACAGACAGGGTGAACACCTTCCCAAGCTGTGTCCCATGATAAGCCCATAGGTCGAGCCTGCTGCTCAGCCATTCTCCAAAGTCACAGTGCAGGCTGGTGGCTGTCAGCTAGCTGACAAATGTTTTTGGGTTTCTGTTTTGTTTTTCTTTTTAACACGAAGTCTCTCGACATAGCCCTGGCTGTCTTGGAACTCACAGAGATCAACCTGCCTCTGCTCCTGGAATTCTGGGATTAAAGGCATGCACCACCATGCCCAGTGGTTGACAGTTTTTTTTTTTTTTTTTGGTTTTTCGAGATAGGGTTTCTCTGTGTAGCTTTGTGCCTTTCCTGGAACTCACTTGGTAGTCCAGGCTGGCCTCGAACTCACAGAGATCCACCTGGCTCTGCCTCCCGAGTGCTGGGATTAAAGGCGTGCGCCACCACCGCCCGGCCAAGGTTGACAGTTTCTTAAGCAAAGGTCTGTACACAGTGTGGTTTTATGAATATATTTTGTGAATTCTAAGTCACAGAATGCAGAAACACAAGAGTTAAAGAAAAGAAGTCGGGGCTGGAGAGATGGCTTAGAGGTTAAAGAGCATTAACTGTTCTTCCCAAGGTCCTGAGTTCAATTCCCAGCAACCACATGGTGGCTCACAACCATCTATAATGAGATCTGATGCCCTCTTCTGGCCTGCAGACATACATGCAGACAGAACACTATACATAATAAATAAATAAATCTTAAAAAAAAAAAAAAAAGAAAAAAAGTCATGGGCACCACAGCACATAGCATTTGAGGGAATTTTCCTTTCCACCTTTGTCCCCCATACAGTTCACATGCACAAGGGGTGAGGAACAATATAATACTCCCTTCCTTTGTAGACAGCATAGTTCTACCAAGCTGTCTCCACTGTGAGGAACCTCCCTTAACTCCATGGAGGTGACAGCCGGTCTCCAGCTGTGTCTCTTCCCTTTGTAGATGGCATAGCCATCCATATGTATACGCAACTGCATCTTCATTGTGAGGAACAATTCCCACCCACTGTAGATGGCACTTACGCACTCTGTTTTGGGTCTTCTGTGACGAGCATTCTCCTTCCCTGTGTAGACAGCACAGCTCTCTACAGCCACTATGAGGAACCCTCTATGTGCAGGTGACACAGCTGTTACTTGTTTGTATCTCCATTGTAAACATCACCTCCCTTCATGTGTAGTGGTACATCTGTTCCTGGCCATTTCCCCAGTCAGAGGCTTCAGAAAACAGCAGACACCCATGGAATGTGGCATTGGAGCTGAAGCACCCATCTTCTTAGAGCTTGACTTTCCAATCACCTCAATCAACTTGCTGCTTGAAACAAATTAATAAAATCACATGGCATGAAACCACAAGTGGTTTCAGCTTGGAGATGGTAGTAAAAGTGCTCTCTGGCCCCAGAGTCTTAGCCCTAAGGCTAGAAAGTGCTTGTCTACCCGAGGCTGGATGAAGGGCTCAGCCTGCCTCCTATTAATACAGGTACCAGCACAACTTGTTCAGTTACCTGAGGTACTTGGGGGGATGGGGGTGGGGATGCTTCTGCTACAACAGTTCCTCACCCTTTCACTGTATACTCTCTTGCCAAAAGCCACTACCATGACATTTGGGGAAGCAACTACTGTCCCCACAGACAGAAAGGAGTCAAGGGCTACATTCTCTACAATGACAAAGGAAGATGTGCAGACAGATCTCTGAGGCAGCTCTGGCACAGGGAGCCTGCACAGGCATCCTCAGATGAGGTAATAGGGCATTGTTCAATCCATCTCACAATCCATTCACATCCACTGAACTGCCTTTGGGATTATGCAGGTTTCTCTGACACTCAGTGTCATGACATGTAGGTATCCTAAGGAAGTTACTGTTGAGACAAGTTCTGCCTCTGGGCTGGAGTTCTGTTAATCCTGAGAATGTAGCTGGCCATCTCCCCCAACATGTGAGGCTGCAGAGCAGGGGGACCACACACACTCCAGACTGTGCAGACCCCAGTCTTGTGCCTCAGATTTCTCATCTGTGAAGTAGAAGTGGCCAAACCTACTTAAAGGGTCATTTGAAGGGACAAATGAATTCATGTCTGTAAAGACAACTGGTAGGTAGAATGGACTAATCATTATCATGATGTGATGGGATTATAAATTACCTGATCTCAGAAAATTTAGCAGTCTGCCAGTAAATAAGACCTAGCAAAACTCTTCTGGACATTGTGATCCACCCAGAAACCAAGTACTTCCCAAGGCCAGAAGTGAGACTGCCATGAGGGTACCAAGTTTTTGTACAGGTGTGAGGAGAGGCAGGATAATCTCTTAGTGATCTGGGGGTAAGCTGAGGAGCCTAGAAGAGGCAGGGAAGGCCAGAGACTACAACCGCAGCCAACACCGGAGAACACTTAGATACAAATGGGCTGGTCTCATGACAGTGACTCTCGAGTTCCTGAAAGGCCGTTCCTCTCTTCACTCCCTCCCTCACTGCACAAGCATGTACAAGACACTCCCCACTGTGTTGAGTCTTGGTTGCTCTGTTCTAGGTACTGGGAACCCATAGGCACAGTCCTCCCACTGACAAGTTTGAGGGGCAGAATCCCAGGGATACCAATCAGCCTCCACAGTATGGGAAAAGCTGAGACTAAAAGGGTCGATGACAAACATAGGTTAAGAAATATCTCCTACATCATGCTGGGTGGTGGTGGCGCTGGCTCTTGCCTTTAATCCCAGCATGCAGGAGGCAGAGCCAGGTGAATCTCTGTGAGTTCAAGAGCAGCCTGGTCTACAGATCGAGATCCAGGACAGGCTCCAAAACTACACAGAGAAACCCTGTCTCCAAAAAAAAACCAAAAAAGAAAAAGAAAAAGAAAAGAAATACCCCCTACTTCAGATGAGATCTTACACTGACAGCCGGGCTAAGCTGTAATAGCACAAACAGTACACACACTTAGAGCGAGGCTGCAAAACCTAAGACCCAAAAGATGCCCATGTGCTAGAGAAGAAATGGGGGTAGGGTGGGGGTGGCAAATAAAATGTGCAGGCTCTTTTGAGTTCTTTCTGGGCCTGGCAGGAGACACAGGTGTGGCAAGGTGGAAGAGATTACACATCTGGAGCATGTGGTACCATGGCTGCAGTGTCTGACTTCGTCATCTTCACCACGGAGGCAGAAACCCCCAGGCCATCCTGGACATCAGCACCAGACACAATACAATCCCCATGAAATCACCTTAGTTTGAGATCCTTGACTTGGGCCCAGAACTCATCTCATGTTTCCCCAGAAGACCATTGAGCTGAGCACAAGGTATGACTGGGTCCTACATTCATTCACAGGTGTCTCAGACAAACCCACCCCAGGGCTACTTCACAGTAGCCGTCACTCACTGTCTGACCCTCAGCTCTCGACAGACCCCGTAGACCTCAGAATTAGGATATGAACTTGGTGGGAACTCCCTTTAGAGACCTGCAATGACAAACTCCCCTTTCCCAAAGCTTTGCCTGAAAGACTGGGGAATCAGTCAGGGCAAAAGTGAGAAGAGCTACAGAGTGATGCTTCGGACCACAGGCTAGCAGATGAGATGTGGTTCCCGAGGTGCTCACCTAGATGGAGATCTCTGCATTCCTAGGGGCCAATACGGCCTTTGAAGGTTCTGCTGGTGTCCTGAAGACCTGACCAGCATTTCCAGCTACTTGAGTTCCAGAGACACAGTGGCTACCCACTCACCCACCCACTCACAGGCTGGCCATTTCTCTTACAGTGCCTCACTTCCTTCTCTACTAACATGAGTTCAGATAGAAAGGCTAATGTGCTCAGCAAATAATGTACATAATAACTCAGTCAGACAGGTAGTATTTTTAGTAAACCTATTACCTCTAGTCATGCAATAATCATCAGTCATCACTAAGAAGGGTTTGCCAGTTGACTCCCTATCCCCTCCAAACAACCCTTAAAAGAGCACTGAACAGGAAGAATCCCAAGTGTCCACCTTATCATCGTCGCCTCCCAGGGCCCAAAACTGCCCCCAATTCCCCAGCTGGTCCTGGAAACAGCGATAACTTGGCAACAAGTAACAACCGCTGCAAAGCAGGCTTGGGCGGCGTGGTTTAAGTCCTCCCACACACCCCTCATTCCGGGTCCTCTTCCTGGCAGGCGGCGTGCGGGTAGGTTTCCTTGGTCCCCGGTCCGGCCTTCGCGCCCACCTACCTCCAGGGCCTCCAGGGTGCTGAAGCTGGCTATAGCGAAGCCGTCTATAACCTCCTCCTCCTGCGAACTGGACTCGCGGCGACGACGCCGCGGGGGGCGCGCGGCGCGCAGGGGCGTAGGGCGCTGAGGCGGCGCGCCGCGGAGTCCCGCGTTCTCCTTGCCAGGACTGGGCTCCGGCTCGTCACCCGACGACGGGCTCTGCGCGCGGGCGTCGCGGGCGGCTTCCCGACGCCGGCCGCGGTCTCGCTGCGCGCGCGAGCGCCGGCTCGGCCGGACCTTGGCCTCCATGGCGGCGCCGCGGCTGTGACCTTGGCGCCCCGCGCCGCCTGCTACGCCGCGCCGCCGGGGTGGGAAGGCGCCGCGCGGGCTCGGGGCCGGGGCGGGCTCGGGGCCGGGGCGGGCATGCCGGGCGCGGGCGCTCAGCGCCGGGCGCCGCGCGGGCTGGTACCCCGGGTCCGGGCCCGGCGCATCGGAGGGCAGCCGGCGTTCAGCGGCCCTAGACCGGACCCCTAGAGACGCAACCCATGGCGACCGGCGGGCAGCGGCGGTGGGCGGGTGAGGGCGGCGGGTGGCAGAGCTTCGGAGCACCGAGATCGTGAGGCAGAAACAGTAGTGGCAGCGACCGGAGCGGATAACAACTGACGCACTTCCGCCGGGCCGGAGTGCCAGAGGAAGCGGTTGCAGTTGGGGGGAGGCTGACCCGCCGACTCCGCCCCACCCTGGCCCCGCCCTGACCCCGCCCTTCCGGACTCTGCGGCTCTGCGCTCAGCTACCCCTTGCTCTTTCACACTAAGCCCCGCCCCGAGGAGGAGGTGCTTCCCCTTTGCCCCACCCCTGCAACCGGCCACACCCATCTGTGCACGTCTTTTCAGAATCCCGCCCCTCCCAGTCAGACCACGCCCCTTTCCGCCCGGCTCCACCTCTCTAGTCCAAGCTCTCTCTGTCCCTTAAGCCCCGCCTTTCCCTGCCGGTCCTGTTCACCTGTGTGGTGAGCCGAGTCCAGGTCAGATCCCGCCCTTTCATGCCCCGCCCTGTTGTCCACGCCTACTCGTCAACAAGCACACACTTGCAAGGACTGCCTGGCCACCTGCAGCGACTTTGTGTTGGTCAGCGCCACCTCTTCCGCCCTCCACGTGGGAGGTGATGGGTCTCTGTACCCACAGCAGGCTCCGGCAAACTAAGTCGTCGTCCTCCACTTGCAAGCCCTCAAATCCAGAAGTCCCACCCTGTTCTCCAAGCTAAATTAGGTGGCTTTCTGCTGAAAATCAAAGCCCTCTGGCCTCAAGCATGCTTCCCTTGGGGACCTGTCTCTCCTTGCTAGTTCAAGGACCTGGGGACTGCTGCTTGCCGGAGACATAGAGAATGGGCAGCTAGGAAGTTCAAAGCTAGACAAAATGGTGGGTTTCCTCGTTCAGCCAGAAACAACGTCCCCAGGGGGAGTGTCCTGGTGCACATGGAGCAGGACACTAATTCATACATTAATTACCCAAAAAACCTTGTTCTGGGGAACCTTTGTGACTCTTTCATAAGTGGAAACTGTTGGCATGAAGAAACAGGTGGTGCCACAGCTTGGCTTGGGCATTGAGTGAGAAGTGACATTGAGCCATGCCTGCCTCTGAGCAGTGGAAGCCCTGACAGGAAGAAGACACAGGGTCCCCTGGGCAGGACCTCAGGTGCACATCATCTGGCTCCTGAGAAGGCCACAGCCTCTCTGCAACGCTGCCCCTTTCGATTGATTTTAGTTTGAAGTCTATTTTATTAGATATCAAGATAGTTACACCAGCTTGTTTCTTAAGTCCATTTGATTGGAAAGCCTTTTTCCAGCCTTTTACTCTGAGGTAGTGTCTGTCTTTGAAATTTAGATGTGTTTCTTGTATGCAGCAGAAGGATGAATCCTGTTTTCGCATCCATTCGGTTAGCTTGTGTCTTTTTATAGGTGAGTTGAGACTGTTGGTATTGATGGATATTAATGACCAGTGATTGTTAATTCATGTTATTTTTTGGTGATAGTGTTGTTTTTCCCTTCTTTTGTATTTGTTGGTGTGGGATTATCTATTGCCTGAGTTTTCATGGGTGTGTTTAATTTCCTTAGGTTGGATTTTTCCTTCTAGTGCTTTCTGTAGGGCTGGCTGGATTTGCTTCATTTGGTGACAAGACAGGCCAGTTGGGACTCTGTCTCCCCCATTATTTGGAGATTTCCCTTAGGTTGCCTTCATATATTATATATTTTAGGAAGCTTCTGCTGTATTGTTTTCATACTACCCCTCAAATGGCCCTTAATTTTAGCTATCTCTCCCCATATTCCCTTCCCTGTCCCCTTCTCTCTTCCTCCTCCCTGCTTGATCCCCGAATTCCAGCCTCCTTCCCCATCTATGCATAACTATCCCCTTTTCTAAGGAAATCTATCTGTCCTCCCTAGTCCCTTACTCTATACCTAACCTCTGTAGTTCTGTGGATTGTAGCTTGGTTTTCTTTGATTTAAAGACAAATATGGTATGCATTTTCCATTTCTTAAACTTATTAGGGAAATGGTAGTTGGGGCCCAAAGCTGATCATCCATAGGAAAGGTTCCATCTTCAGAGGACCAAGTCAGGTGATGCCTGGCTAAGTAGCTACCTGACACTCCCTCAAGTCCTTGTCCTCATCCTCTCTTAGTCTTAGCTCTGACTCATTTCTTGTCAGCAACAATATTTCTGGAGACACAGCTTAGCACTGCCATCAGCAGCTTGGGCAGTTCTCTTTCCCTTTAGAGACCTCCACTAAGGTAAAGCCAGATTCTTGACTTTGTTGCAGAAAGTAATTTTGGGACCAGCTAGAATGAAGCACAGTTGGAGTTTATTAAAAAGAAAGTTTAGCAGGGCTGGGGAGATGGCTCAGCAATTATAAGAATACTTGTTCTTGCAGAGGACCTAGGTTCTGCACCCAGCATCAATGTAGTAACTCACGAATGTCTGTAACTTCAGTTCCAGAGGATCTGGACACCCTTTTCTGACCTCCAAGGGCACCAGGCACACATGTGGTGCACATACATAGATCCAGGCAAAACACTCATATACATAAAATAAAATAATACATCTTTTTTAAAAAGAAAAAAGAAAGTTTAAGGAATGGGGATGTGACACAGTTGGTAGAATTCTTGGCTAGGTTGCACCAGGCCCCAGCTTCCATCCCTACCACTACATAAATTCGGCATCTTAACACACGTCTATAATCTCAGCATTGAGGAGTTGTAGGCAGGAAGATTATAAATTCAAGGCTATTAAGGCCACCCTGGGCTACATTACCCACCCCATGATAAAATTTCACATTGATTTTTTACAAATTTTTAAATTTTACGTGTACACATGTTTTGCCTACATGTGCCTAGTGCCTGGGGAGATTGGACCCCTGGAACTGGAGTTACGGATGGTTTTGAGCCAACACATAAGTGCTGGAAACCTAACTCAAGTCCTCTGCAAAAGCAGTAAGCCCTCTTAACTGCTTAGTCATTTCTCCAGCCCCAAGTTATATGTAGATTTAAACATGGTAATTAGTAGAAAACTTGGTGCTTGTGGGAAGACGAAGGCTACCCTAGTGGTTTCTCAAGGGAGAGTCTCAGGTGACTTTTGAAATCACTTCCCGAAGGATTGCCTGAAGGCCGGGTGTGGTGGTGCCTGCCTTTAATAGCCCATCACTCCAGAGGTAGGACAGATCTTTGAGTTCAAGGCCAGCCTGTTCCGCGTAGAGAGATCCTGTCTCAGCACTTCAATGAGATCAGAAGCCGCTTCCTGATGTCTATTGTTTGAGAATCATAGCTTCTAAGGAAAAAGCATAAATCATAGGGTTGCAGAGAAAGGTAGATGCTTTTACTGTAAACAAAGGTTTAGTGTTGTTTGTGGGATTCCCAGAAAATATCTGGAAAAGGAATAAAGTTGTACTTCAAGGTCATGTACACCCAGGCCTTAAGCCTGTTTGAGTATGTCAACAACTCTCATGGTAAATAATTGTGCTAGAATGCATCTATCTATCTATCTATCTATCTATCTATCTATCTATCTATCTATCTATCTATCTAATCTAATCTATCTCTCTATCTTTTTTTTTTTTTGGTTTTTCGAGACAGGGTTTCTCTTTGTAGCTTTGGAACTCACTTGGTAGCCCAGGCTGGCCTCGAACTCACAGAGATCCGCCTGGCTCTGCCTCCCGAGTGCTGGGATTAAAGGCGTGCACCACCACCGCCCGGCTTATCTCTCTGTCTTTATCTCTCTCTCTCTCTCTCTCTCTCTTTTTTTTTTTTTTTTTTGGTTTTTTGAGACAGAGTTTCTCTGTAGTTTTGTACTTTTCCTGGAACTCACTGTGTAGACCAGGCTGGCCTCGAACTCACAGAGATCCGCCTGCTTCTGCCTCCTGAGTGCTGGGATTAAAGGCGTGCACCACCACCGCCTGGGGATCTTTCTTTTTTGTATTAGAATTCTTGATTCTCAGCTGGCAAGAGGCTTTGAACAGACTCTGAAGTAAGGGGCTCATTTTTTCACCCAAATCCCCATAATCCTAATTCTCCTTGCCTTTCTACCCGGCTTCACCCACAATAGCCCAGGCTCTTGCCTATTCTATCAGCCCAGGACTGCAGGACTGTGCTTGACCACTGCCCCAGCCCAGGCCTGTACCTGGCCACCACTGCCTATGGCAGTGTCCTTCCTCCCTCCCACACATAGGTAGTGTGGGTACTGGTTGTTTCCAGGCTGTTCGTCAGCTGAGTTTATCAGTCATCTGTGGACTTTGCTTTTGAGCCCCACTCTTCTTGTGCTGGACTCTGAAAAGCCAATCAATATGGATCAGTATCAATTACCCCTCAAGCATCAGTTCACCTCCTCAGCTCCATGTAGCTTGCTTCTATGGACAGTCAACACTATGGCCAACTCAGAGGTCCCACTCTCCCCAACCAGAAAATGTAGTCAGTTCTCCCTTGATGCTGCCTAATACACAACCTGGAGGCTGAGAGTTGACACTCGAGCTGTTGATGTTACTTTGCATTGTTTGGGACAGGGTAGCCTAGAACTCACTGCACTATACAGGCCAGGCTATACTAAGTAGAGCTGGGAATATGGGAGTGAGCTACCACACCCAGCTCAGATGTTGTTTGTTTGTTTGTTTGTTTGTTTGTTTGTTTGTTTTTGAGACGGGGTCTAACTGTGTAACCCAGGCTGACCTAAAACTCTTGGCAATCCTCCTGCCTCAGCTTAAGTGCTGGAATTAGAGGCATGTGCTACCACACCCGCCTTTCAGCTGTTGTTTTCTTGCTCACAGGGTTGTAGGCTGCCTGG